AAATCAGATTTTAGCGCAGAAGTATTGCTCAATGCTACTTACAGTGAATTCAAACGCTCTCTCGCGCGCCTCTATATCTTCAGTGCTGTCGGTCTTGGAGTAGAACGTTGGAGAATGAATGTTTGAAGTAACCTTTCCTCCTTGTTCGGGTTTAAATTCCTGTTCGTAAATTCGGTAGGCCTTTGCATGAGCCTTAATCGTATTGTAAGCGCATTGATATATTCCATCGCCAACTAAACTTTTTCCTGGCGCAAGTGAGTCCTAAAAAAATTAATAGATACGTTTTATATTCAGTAGCTGGAATTAACGTGTTTTTGAAATATTTAGTTAATAAATTTATAGAATTGTAAAATGTTATTAAGTTGTTATTAAAGTGAATTAAGATTTTCGTCGAATTCAGTCGTTCCGATGAAATAGAAATTATTGTACTGTGTAAGTACGTCTGGGAAGCTATTTTTAAGAAATCTTGATTGTTTTAAGTTAAAACTTCCGAGTGTTTACGTCAGGTGATCGAGGTGGCCTACTTTGGCCCGCCTCTTCCAATTGATCTGTATTGCATCGTTATATTGGGCGGAAATGAGGCGGAGTCTTTTGATGGGCATGGATCATCTTTTTTTTGGGAGAAATTCTAAATAAAAAGCAAAAAGCAATCAGCAAAAATTCATGTAGCGATTTCATTTCACGAGACATTTAAGTAAACTATAGTTGTGGTTTCGCGCTAATTCTGCTGATTAAATTGAATTAAAAATGAATTAGCGACTATTAACTATAATTTCATATACCTTTATAGTTTTAATGGTAAACCGATTTTCATTTTCAACATTGCTGCAGCAGTTTATTTGTTGTTTTAGAGAACGTCGGACATAACGTGCCGAGATAATTGTAAGAATGATGAATAGTGTCATCCAATTTAAAAATTGAAATTTGTCAACGTTTTCTTACCCCTCCATATCCCATAGAGCAGATTGCCAAAGGTTCGTTAAGAGTAATCCAGTATTTAACATAAGGCCCAAAATGTTCAAATACAACTCTGGCGTAGTCTCCGAAATAATCTGCAATTTGTGGATTTAACCAACCTCCCAAGTCTTCCAGATGCTGTGGTAGATCCCAATGGTAAATAGTAACGATTGGCTCTATATCATGCAAGAGCAGCTCCTGTAAGTAATATTAGCGACTAGCGCAGAGTCTTTCATCAGGAAGAGACTTACCGCGATTAAATTCAGATAGTAGTCAATTCCAGCCTGATTAATTTCGTTTGGAGTGCCATTGGGCATGATTCGTGGCCATGCTATCGAAAATCTGAAAATTTCACATATACCAATCTGATATCAATACGAAACATGTTTGTTTTTAAATTATACCTGTAAATATCCACTCCTAAATCCTTCAAAATAGCTACATCTTCCCGGTATTTGTGGTAGGAGTCGCATGCGATATCTCCTGTAGAATTGTCTGCAATGTGCCCTACACAAAAACGGTCATATTCTTGCAATTATAATTATTAGCTAGAATTACCAGGTTCATGCGCAAAATTATCCCACATGCTTAGTCCCTTTCCATCTTCATCCCAGCCACCTTCTATCTGATAGGATGCAGTGGCAGCACCAAACTTAAACTCGTCTGGAAAATATTTTTCCGCAACAGCACTATAGCAAAAAACTTTTTAGTGGCAAATTTTGCATTTCAACCGTACAATTTCATTTATTGTTCTTCAGTAGATTGAACAGCTTAGAAAAAACATTTGTTACTGATTTAAGCTGATTTCCTGGAATAATAAAACCCCCGGAAGCACGCGTAACATACATAACATATACTAGATAAAAATGAGTTAGCGAGATCATATTAATAAAGTAAAGTCAAATAATAAACTAAAAATTAAATAAATCAACAACGAAAATGGCACCTAAAAATAAAATAAAATTACCTTGTTGCAAGAGAAACAATCAAGAAAACAATCGCTGACATTTTAGTTAGGCAAGCATTAAAGACACGCACTTTATAAAACTGAGCTATTTAAATACAGATATTTATATTGCTATTATAGATGTTTTCAAATGGTCATCAAATGTTTTTCATTTGATTTAAGTGTTTAAATTTAGAGAATGCCGTTCAAGTACCTACATTGTTATTGAATTTATTGGTTCTTAAACGCGAGATAAAAACTATTACAAATATAAGGTGCGCCAAAATTCCCGTGGAATAGTTTATATATTTAAAAATGACCAAATAAGTTTATTACTTATATGCAGAATCATAATATTTGTGAGTGTGAAAGTTTAAAATATAGAATTGTTATAATGCAAATAATTATTGTCCCGATTTTTTCCCCAAGTATTTTTACCTCGTAGTTGTAGCTTTAAGTAGGTACAAGATTTATATTATTTTATTTTGCTCATATTTTTTTTTTATAAAACTATTAAAACCAATTTTTTTCTTTAGTTGTCTCAGAACAAACAAACTCTGCTCTCAGATCGGCTTGTTCTAAACATGAATTAAATTCCTTCAAAACATTTTACTAATATTAAGAAAAGTTTGAAACATTCACCAAAAATGTACAAGTTCCACAGAACCTAAGAATTATATTTTAACATATCGATTATGATTTAAAAAAATACCCAAAACTGTTCAACCCTTCTAAAAATGCAGTTCTTGTGTATCCAGGCTTCGACAAATTTTCCTTTTCACGACTTATTAACGTTTATCATTCGACTTCTGTAACACCCAGGATATTTGCAATATCTCAATTCTGGTTCTAGATAAGAATTTAAAGTTATAGTTTTTACTTTTATTAATAAGAAAAATTTTAAATATTTACTTTTGGATTTTGAATCAAGCACTTGTTAACTCAGATATTTTGAAACGACATTATTAAATATAATTTGCTTGCAAATATAAACTTTTAAATATAATCGTTCTAAGCACCATTTTCCTTTTAAAAAAGCCTTCATAAAACAAGATTTTTCGGCCCCGCCCCATAAATAGTTGTTATACTGGAGTTGGCAACGTTGAAGATTCAATCTGTCATTTTCCACATGACGTTTGTCCACGCATCAGACCAACATGGCTGGTGGGTAGATTATTATTTTTATCTATTTTGACATCAATTTTTATGGGTAAATTCTTTTTTTCAGACCTTCTTCCTAAGGTAACATGTACTTATTGTCAGGAAGACATTAATGGGGTTCGCGTTCAGTGCTGCGAGTGTCAGGATTTTGATATTTGTTTGCAGGTTAGTTCCTAGTTGGGGGCCTTGAGCCCTGGTACATTTCGGGTTAGAGTTTGAATTAAATCGTTTATAGTGTTTTGCCAGTGGAGCAGAAATAGGCACCCATAAGAATGACCACCCGTATAGGTTTGTGGTAAGTAACATTACAGAGAACAAAGTATTCTTTGTTTACTACGTTTCTCATATTATTTAGGATCATGGCTCTGTTAGTATATTTGGTGGAAGAGGATCCTGGACTGGAAGAGAACAGCTGAAACTATTAGAGGCTGCAGAATTGTACTCATATGCCAATTGGGACTTGATGGCAGAACAAGTAGGAACGCGCACAGCAGAAGGTAAACTTGTTGTTTACAAATATTGCTTAGGTTTTAAACGGCGGCGGTTTGCAGAATGTAGAGAAGAGTTTACAGCTCGATACCTGGATGGAAATATTGGGAAAGTAATGTGGGGCAATGTTTCCAAGCCTAATTTGGTTATTAACTTGGCGGAAGATGAGGGGCCATTATCTCCAGCTGCATTGGCAAAACTACCTCCTTTGGACGCCACATTGGAAGAGGCGAAAATATTGGGATACAAACCACACAGGGATGATTTTGAGAGGGTATGTACTAGGTGGAGAATTTTACAAATAGTCCAATTTGCTGATGTCATTATTTTTTCCTAGGAATACAATCCAGAGGCTGAACAGTTAGTTGCCCATCTGCAACTAGAAGATAACACAGACAGCGACGTTGAAAGAGTTTTAAAACTGGCAGTTGTCGATATGTATATTAGGAGACTAAGGGAAAGGCAACGAAGGAAAAGAATTGTTCGAGATTACCAGTTGGTTGCTAAATATTTCGACAATTTAAGGCGAGATCCCTCCAAGCCATTATATCCGAAAGAACAAAAGTGAGTAAATGTTGTAGCAATAATAGATTCATAGTGATTAAGTAAATATAATTGCCGTGTTCCTTACACTGATGAAAAGCCAGCATTACGTAAAATTGCACTTTATAAACACTAGATGTTTTTTTTCTTTTTGTTCAAAGAATTTTTAGAGTTTAATATGCTTGTATGTACCAATGTTTGATCGCAGTCCACTACAGGAAATTATTACTTTTAATTTACATTACGTATAGAGAAATATTCGCAAAAGGACCAAAGTAAGTCAACTTTAGGTACCTCTGGCCAACAGTGCAAATAATATTATTTTTCGTTGCTTGATTAGTTCCAAGTACATTAACTATTGGTCACATAAACATTAAACATTTGCTAATGAGGTAAGCGAGTAATCCCCAAAGAATTACTAAGGAAATTGAGATAGGAAACACATTATAAATACTTATAATACAAAGAATATTATAAATCTTTTCGGTAGTGAGAAGTTATAGTTTTATTGTTTTTATCCGCATAAAAAATGTCAATAGAAGTTCTATACATTCTTAATTTTATTAATGTACGTTTTGTTAAATCAACTGACGCTTCAAACAGTGGTGAAATCTGCAACATTTAAAGTTTAGAAATTATGAAGTTTAAACAATGCAAAACTGTAAAGAAACTGTTAAATTTTAAGGTAGAATTTAAATTATATTTGTTAGTAATAAATGTTTGTTTTTGCAGAGAATTGCGGGATTGTATGCGGCCGTTTGCTCAATTTTTGAATGCCGGTGAACACGAGCAGCTCATTACGAGTCTTGAGCGCGAACGGGAACTGAGAGACAGACTAACGGAATTGAAACGATACAGATCCCTTGGTTTAACAACTCAAGAAGAAATTGTGCACTACGAGCAGCATGCAGCGTTTCAAAGGCAACAAATCCGACAAGGAAAAGCTGTAAGTTTTTCGTGATCTGTTTGTGAAAAAATAGTATTTTTATTACTTTATCTGGATGTTTTGGTATAGATTTTTGTTTCGTTTAAACCTTTTTTACATGTTTGCTCTAATTTTCACACACTTTTCATGATCTATTAATTGCATGAGTCTGCGGCACTAACTACGTTTCAAGTATTGTAGATAAGGAATAACAATTTTCTAGACCGATTAATATGTATGTGTTGGTATATATTAGACTCAATTCATCTGAAAATTAGAAAACAAGCTGGAATGTTCAAAAATATGTCTATGTAAGAGGCTTGTTTATTAATTATTTCTAAATATTGCAACAAGCATAGTTGTTTTTTTGCTTTCATAAATGTGAGTATAATATTTAAAGCTTTATTCCAGCAAGTCAAACAATGTTAATTTAATATTTTGAAAACCGTTGGAGTATTTAAAGCAAAGCGAATGTCGACACCGAAGGACTATTCTGGCTTCGATTAAGTAGACGAAAGTTTTGTTATGTATGTCGTGAATTTCCTCATACGATAAAAGTACAGAAGGATTAAAAATATACTTAATGTATTTTTATCTGCTTGTTGTGGGTCTTTAAAGTAAGAATTAAAAATAGTTCGGCTGTAAAAATTATTTTAAATATCGTGAGATTCTGGTGATTGAAGAAACTCGTTAATACAAATTAGGTCCGTATTTTTCTGTTTCATTTTATGAGGTCAAGCTTTGATGCTAATTGTGAAATATAGTTTTTTCTCGTCCTCACTCGATTCGTCTATTAATTAGTTTAAAATAACCTCTACTTTGTTTTGCCATATTTTACAATTTTCGACAAAGACTTATTAAATTTATCTTAATAAAGAAATAATGTAGATCCATATTAATTTAATTATTAAATCTAAAAAATTAGTTTTTTTTACTTTTAAGGGCAATAAAATCGTAACGAATTGAAAACAGAAAATAAATTAGTCAAACACTGTTTGTTACACATTTTTATTATTTAGGCGCCTATTAGTTTCCGGAGACTAGGCCTATCGAATATATGCATAATTATTTGGATGTTACAACAATTTACCCGGTTTCTTTTAACAAAGAGTCAGTTACACTTTACAGTTACATAAAAAGGTAAAAATTGTTTTGCTACTGATACAACCACAGTCAAATTAAATATCGACGAATTGAGATTTAGCTTTGATGCGTATATTAACACCCAATCTTCATCTCTCGAATGGGAGGAATAATCACATCATAAATAGGACCACCTCCTTGACATACCCATATACTGCCATTGTCTCCATAATTGAGCATCTCGTTTAAACCTTCTGCCACGTCTTCAACATTTTGGCAGGGTTCATTGAGAAGTTGGCGTTTAGCTCGTTTCTCCAAGTCGGGAAAGCCATCAAGCACCCAGTTGGGTGCATTGTCGATCATCGAAGTATCCGTTACACCCGGGCAAATAGACATGAATCGAATGCCGGTCAAATCGAACCAAAATCTGGTACCGATTGATCTGGTGAACCCTATAATAAAATGTTTGGCGCCGGAATAGCAAGGAAATTCGTTAAATGCTTGCAGTCCTGCGATGGACGAAGTGTTAACGATGGTGCCACCTCCATAGCCGTTATTTTTGCCCATATACTTAATGCCCAACAAATTGCCTCTGACTGTAGTTGTTATATTTAAGTCGATCATTTCCTCCCAGGCTTTGTCCTTTAGCTTGCCCGCATTGTTCACCAGCAAGTCCAGCTTCTTGTATTTCTGCATGGTCTTTTCAAAGACACATTCAAACTGTTCCGCATTTACTAAATCAGTCTTGACAAAATGCGCTCTCCCCTTTCCATAACAACATTCCATTTCCTTGGCCAGGGCTTCGCCTTGCTCATCGATGTCCGCGATTGTGCAACCTTTCATGCCACTTTTAAACAGTCTTTTTACATACGCAGCTCCTATTCCAGAAGCACCGCCGGTAATTATGGCTATTTTACCCGAAATTACCTCCATTGCAGAAATTTACATGTGCGTTGTTTATAAGGATAAAAGTTGCTGGCTTATAATTTTGAATTTTTGGCCGAAATGATGTCATTGTCATATGAAACTTTGTTGCTAGTGAAAATGGAAAATTTCTGTGTATTTTTATTACAGGGTTTGATAAATTTTAAAGAAAGTTGATACTAAACGATTAGCAGAAACAAATAATAGAATTTCCTACTATTGCGAGACTAAATAGGCATCCCAGATGTTTGAGACATTGTTATTCCAATCCAACAATATGTATTTTACATGGCGTTAACCACAGCTTTCAGCTCATGGTTTAATTCATTTCATGTATCCATTTTCATAATTTGTACAAACTTATTTCTATAAGTAACGATATTAACGGATTCGATACTGCAGGGTGTGTAGCTGAAAAATAAGTATTAAAATGATTGTTTCCAATGCTGGAAAACCATCTATTCACATGCTTTTTGAAATTCTTTTAACTGCTCATTGTTCTTGAGCTGGGTTTTTCCAAAACGATATATTTTTAACTAGACACCCTGTAATTATCGATGCATCATCATCATTATGTTCGGTAGTATGGGCGGGGCGATAGACGGACCCGATTGTATGAGTTTCCATTTCACTTAGGGTGGCAGTGGCCTTGCGAATCCAGTGAGAAGTTCCAATCAGTACTTAACGTCCCCAAACGGGTAAGTTTCCAACATTCCATCATTTCATTTGGAAAGTTATCGAATATTGGCTCACCCAAATGTTTAATCTCCCAACATACAAAAAATAAAATACATTTTTTTGTAAGTAAATATCGAAACATTGATATATTTTATGATATGTTATGTGTGCTTTGACTATCCACATAGAATATCGCATACTCGTATATTAAAACTCCCAACTTTCAGGGCGTTCAGAAAATATGAGTATATTTTAAATTATATTCTGTAAAATTCTTAAAACAGCGACTGTCTAGGTTTCCGTGCTTGTTCGAATATCACCAAAAATAGGACAAATAAATCAAAAAATTTAAATCATTTGATTTCTATGTATCACTTATTCGTCTTTTCGGTGTGCTGTACGATACTTTCCAATTTATTTTTAAGTGTTTCAGACATTTCATCTTTGAAGAAATTTATAGTAATTTCGATAGTACGTTAAAGAAGTGCGCTTATTCAAATACAAATATAAAATCCCATGTAACGAATGAAAAAAGAACATTTTCAATGGACTGTTTTGTGTCTGGTCTATGTATATTTTTTATTTTTTTTAATTTGCAGTCCAGGCACTTGGAAGTTTCTGAGTGTTGCTAACAAAACTAGAACGAAATACTCGCTCAATTTTAATAGACCCAAGAAGGTCAATTAAAATTGATATTATCTGACCATGAAAAGGAGAGGATTGGACACGGTGATTAAGCAGCGAAAAAACACTTTTTTGCTTTTTATATTCTTGTAGAATGAAGGATTGAAACAAACAAATTAAAGAGGATGATTAAATCGGGACAACGACATGCACGTTTTATTTCGTTTCTAACGGTCTGTGAAATGTTCATTTAAATTCGCTGCAGGTGTTTTCACGTTTTTATTTTTTTTTATGACACCTTGTTTAAACAGGGCTTGAGTTGACGCACTACTGCTTTTTAAAGACTTAGGTTCTTTGTAAACAGCGTAGTTTTTGCGCAAAAAAGTGTTTGTGAATTTTTAACTAAAATTGTTAAATAGCAAGGAAATAGATTTTTTTGCGAAAACTTCGATTGCGACAATATTTTACAAAGAGCYCAAAGTCGTCAAATAGGTTCAGTGCATTAACTCRAAMAAATCARTTGACTCTCACGACCACAAGAAAAGTTCTGGTAGTTTCTGTACCAAGACGSCCCAAAGCGGATGAACTCGGTTGCTTCRTCAAAACAGTCATAMAGAGGAACAAATTCACAGCGAGTSTCCTTAAAATSCCKAATTTAGTTCTTYCGATATTTCTAAGAACTTTGACCGTTGATAGCAGAGGAGCCAGACATTTTTTCTTAATTAAACTTAGGTCAGATCGTCTTCTRWTRAATCAAAAAGTGTCTTAGTGCCCTTTTGATTATATGCTTACGGGACACCCTGTATATCAAAAACGGTTCGTGATCGGTATATTTGTGAAACATCCGATATAATTTTAAAAGTTTWTAAATAACAACAGAAAACYGATATCAATAAAYCGAAAACATTTGTATACCTGTTTAAGRTAAATGTTTACATCGAGTGCACAGTGCATACAGGTGATTCATAAAAAGGCCAAATTCGTTGTGTAAAGATGAAAGAAAATTTCTAAGCATTCTGTAAAGTTTCGTTTTCAATATACAGGATGAAAAAATATAATAAAAAATTTAATGCTCTACACGTTTTTATTGAGTATTTTCCATTTTGTTACTGTGTATATTTTTAATTTAGTAGAGTGTACGCATATGTCAGCGTCGCGTCCATCTGGCAATTATTTTGTTCCATTCGCCTTCAGTCTATTTTTCTAGTGTTGGTGTTTTTTTAATACAGCATTACTTTATGATGTACGCCTGAAAAATAAACATCAAAATTCACACTTTGGCCAGGAACAAAAGCTCAGCTTGATATTGTTAATAATTTCTTAAAGGGTTCTCTAGAGTACGCTCAACAAATAAATAAAGAAATTAATTTATTGCACTGAATAAAAGCCTATCAAAATCATTTACTACACTTTTAAGTTCAGAACTGAACAGGACAAGCAAGATATTTGACTCCAAAAAAGTCGTGCTTACATTTTTGTGCCATATTTATGTCTACTAAAAGTGGAGTTTTGAATACAATTTCCACACAGTATTCGATGAATGAGAAGAATTGTGCCTATGCAAGTCTGCATGATTTCTTGCAAGTCTGCCGCTGTGCTTTAGTGCATGGGAAATGTAGATCTGTTAAAAATCGTGTAATTATTTGAGTTCTTCTGTGAATGATGTAATTTATATTTTTATGTGAGATTTTTTGTTTGTTTCAGCGACGGAGAAACAAAATTAAATTTCATCGACGAAAAAACCATGTGGCTGTCCGGAAGCGATTCCGCGTACGACAGCGGGGAGGGAGTGGGCGGAGAGACGATGGACCAATCAGCGATGTCAGCGTCGATTTGGACCCAACAGTCGCCATCGACGAAGAATAGTGCGATCAAAGAATCAGGGAAACTGGCTATGGAGAGTTGGTCGAGCCAAGGGGAAGTTCAGGTTAGTGAAAAATAATAATACATTTAATATGAATGGTGTCGGAATACACATTTTTCACAAGGAAACTCTGGGGTATATGAATCATTTCTGTTTTTTTTTTGTTATATAAGTCAAACATTCAATTTTTCTTGCACGCATGTGTCTATGTCCTGATCAAGTTTGCAATAGAGGACCATGTTCTGTAATTAAAATTATATTAAAGTTTATTACTTATATACATATATTATTCTGAAGCATGTTTTCACATATCCTTAAATCCCATTATTCATTCATCCAGAACAAACTGCTTCATTTCAGTGGGACAACGATCTAAACATACAGCCGCTCACCTATGTCACATTGAAATCTGTTATTACTCAAGTAAGTTAAAAAAATTATTCCTATTGTATGAATTTGGTGTTCGATATCGCAACATTGAAACTAATTTTGCGTTAGGAAAATCTACTCAATTCAGATCAATGTGATAATACAATCACACAGGAGCCGAACCTAATGGATATCAACATCAACGATGAATTAATTCAATTTTTGGGTCAAAGCTCTTGGTTGCCGGACGTTTCAACCGACTGATTCTTCCCCTTTAGCTAAGTCTAAATGGTTTTACTCCGTGGAACAATTTTGAACTTTTAATATAGCATGGTGTATGTGATCTCAGTTGATTCTAAGCTTTTGCAGTCTTATTGTTACAATTAATTAGAATGTATCGTTCTAAAATCCCCTGCTCATCAAACAGTTGAACTGCGCACTTAGAATCAGATGGCATTATAAGCATGAAAACAATGTACAAAATATAGAATATTATGTTATTAAATACGTGATTGTATTTTTCTGTATATTTCCTATTTTCAGCGATTACCGATTGGTAAATTTTGTAATATACAATTGTAAAAAGTACTTCTCGAAACCTATCTTAAGTTTTGTGTTATACCTTGACGTTTGTTTCTGCAATTGCATTTGTAAATAGAACTATTCTTAGACTCCACTTTACGGTAGATGCGATGTGTACATATTTCAAAACGTATTTTATTTTGATTTGGTAAATCTTAATTCAAAATGAAAATCCGTTTACTTAGTTACTAAGATATGAAGTGTAAAATTGTTAGTTAAGAAAATTTCTAGACTATTTGTCATGATAGTTTAATCTTAATTCGTTCCCAATGATAGTTGAATTATATTTTTATGGTTCCAATATTTYGTAAATTTTGGAGTTGTTTGTTGAATTTTAATAAATGTAACTTTATTAATTACAGATGTTTTTGTTTCTATCCATTAAATCTCAGAGATCCGTTTYGTTAAGATACATCTCGCCATTTAGGTGATTTTTTATTATCTATCTTCAGKTGAAATTCACAATAATTCACGAAAYTSTTCTCGGCGAGTACAAAGTTTAGGAAAATTATGATTAATGGCTKGGTCCTACATACRTATTCTTAAATGTATACAAAATGMAACTSGGAAATAGTRCAAACCTCACTAAATTTGCAAATTTTTCGATTCGATTTTGMGRWWWTATTCGCAATTTGGTGTTAAYCAATTAAGAATCACTATTGGGMTGCGTAGTCTGGAGGGAACGGAATTTTTACTAATAAAACTATTATTTGAAACAATTTATTACAAAAATACGAAACATTCAATCAAATAATACCCAACAAAGGGCTACCAATAGTTGTTGATGTCGCCAGTCTTTTCTCCTTACAATTAATTAATTTGGTATTTCACGACTTATTATAATTACGTTTGCAGTCTTGCCTTATCATTTGTGAACCTCTTGAAGTCCTACTAATTTCACACATTCTGTGACTGAATTATTAATAAACAAAATTTAAATTCGTAAATATTTTAGGATATTCATTAGGTTCTATTGGTGTTATTTGAGAAAATCAGTTGCTTTTATAATAAATTTTAAAAAAGGTCAGGGTGACCAAAAGTTAATATTAAAACAGGCTATATTGTCAAGAGTGTATAAAAAACATTACAGTAGTAAATCTGAGGACTTGCGAGGTTTTCATAAGATACGTAATCAACATTATCTAAAAATTATTTCGCTTAAAATTAGTCCATATGAAAGAGATTACTTGGTAGCACCTATAAACCTTAAATAAATTGAACACGCGCAAGAGAATGTATAATTAACAAACGGTAACATTGATTAAATAGCCTAAGCTAAGCTCTTACAACCTAAACGATATCACTTTGCAACAGATGCGGCTGAAGCAGACACTCTAAGTCACCTTAGACTCATCGTATAATCAGGAATTTTAATACATCAATATAGAGCGAACTTCATAAAACAAAACAAACACTTCCTTATAAAGAATTTATCAAAATTACTTACTTAGTATACATAACATTTTTCGAAAAACATTCTTAAATCCTACAGTATATCGAGATCCTTAATAACATTGAGCAAAACGTGGTTAACTAGAGTTTATAGTTCATACGTGCTTAAATGAACTAGTCAAAGTGTACAAATTAATACGTGTGTAAATGTGGATATGGGAAAGTTTCAGGATAAGTTCCTGTAAACCATGAAACTTTTTCAAGTTCAAATTGTTTTGTGCAGTTTCACGGTTTAATGAGCTTTCCTTAATCAATGCGAGCAATTTTTTCTATCTATGCAATAATTATTTAAAAAACACACAAGAACTCCATTTGCCGCTCTTTGGTTCGCTACTTCACGAATATTACATTTGCTTAGGTTGAAAATGAACACCAAAATACACAATATTCCTTTAATAATGTAGTAATGTTAATACCTACACGTTTTAAGCTACTTTTTTACCATTCCCTGTCATACTGGTATACACACTTTCCACGATTTTGTTCTTCAGGTGGATCACCGGCGAAGACATCGGCATGTAAAAGTTCTCAGACATAATAATCTTCGCTTTCTCTAGATTCTTGTTGGGACTCATCACCATATACTCGGAATCGGTTTGGTTTTGCGATTGCGGCATAAAATTGAAGAGTTGCGAGAATTTGGATAGATCTTTGGCTGGTAAAGTGTTGCAACGCGATGAGATGTTGGAAGGTGACTGTGCAGGTTCCTTACATCTAGATAAACACGTTTGAGTATTTAGTCAGTTTCTAATCCGCGAGAATCATGTTAAGCATTTGATTAATCAAATCAAGATTGAATTCTTCGTAACAAATAACAGCACTTATCCTAAAAACTGAATTCGCAACTTTTTTTTCATGTACACATGCATAATGCATTGCATGTCGATGAAACTAAAATACAGGGTTCGACCTCATTAATAGGAACTAATTAACACTTAACTTAAACTAGAGATTCTTCAAGAAAAACTACTTTGTTCTAAACGATAGAACCATATTAATTACCAATTTTCAGTGGCCGAATCGGTAGTTTTACTAACGATCCTTATCAAGTCTTACCTTTGCAAGGTGAAGCTTTTAAAGGTTCTTGGCGGCAAAGGAGGTGCTTGGAAATATTTTCCCAACTTTCTGTCCAACACTAATTCGAATGGGTCCTCATAAATATGACTTATATGCTTATAATCGATGGCCGAAGTTTTAGTATTGCTCTGATTGGTTGATTGGTGATCTTCTGGAATTTCCTCATAAATTCCAGAGGACAAAGATATTCCCGATTCGCTTCTTGGAATATGACTGGAATTAAATTGAGCTTTCATCAAATAGTTACTAATTACAGTTTCAAAAGATCACTATTTCACTTTATTTAAGAACAATACTCCTTAAACATTTTCGGATTTTTTACTGAAGAGTAGTGTTTGTTATTAAAATTATCAAAAGTTGAATTCCTATAATATGAAAAATAAAATAATAAATATTACATACATAGTTATAACTGAATATCATGTACATACAGGAAAGGGTAATTGAATTGTTTAATTTCTGACTAGAACCTATATAAACATAAGTGTCTCTAATCGAGAGTGTTGCAACTGAAGTTTATTATCTTTTATTTTATGCACTGCGCTAACTTTTTTACAGCTTCGTGTATCTACAAACAATATAAAATAGCGAAAATGTTACTGCATAGCGAAACTTGTGATTTGCAATATTTGCCAAATGTCTGAAAAAAATGCAGGAGAAAAGCTATGCAAGAAAAAACGGCGTATTTTTCGCCATAACATGAGCTAAAAACTAACTCTCCGTATGTATTACATGCCATTGAAGACTGGCCTTTCATAAATGAAAATATAAAAAAGGATTCCACTGCATTTCTTCGGGCATATGAAAATGTTTCGTTTTAAAAAACTCGCTAATTGAGTAAGTAGGTGTATAAAAAATATTTAAAATATGTCTTACATTTTGCCCACTTGCTGTTGTAGATCTGGGTAAGAATCTTCAGTCTCGCTACCCCCAGGGGTTTTCGTAATTTCGCTCATACCCAAATTGACAAGATTTGATTCAGTCTGGAATAAAAATGTCCCTTAAAAACTGACTTACATAGGGTTTATAAAGGTTTATTCAAATCTCAGCAAAAATGTTTCTAAAAACGCTAAAACATGTAACCATTGAACTGATCCAGATTATTTTTCATGCGTTAATGTCTCTGAAGGCCTTTTCAGGCAGGTCACAAAAAAGGTGAATGTCATGAGCGAAATTTGAATTGTAATAGTCAAGTAACTTGATTCAGCGTTTTTTCGGTCATATAAAATTGTTTTTCGCGAAACAATTGAATTATCCAGAATAACCAATTACTCAGAATTTATGTTGTGTGTTTGATGTGACAAACAATAATCTTTGGTTTCCTCAAGGTTACCAGCAAATCAATCAGATATTATGGAAACTTTTCAACAGCAAAACATGTTACTTTGTTTTCTGTACTAACTATATTTTGTATGAGTTTATTCTGCAGTATATTTATTATTGGTTACTTTACAAATTTTATAATCTACTTATGCGTATTGTCGTGCGTAAAGTAACTGTTACAGGCAAAGAATTTGGAAATCTAGTAATTTTGCAGCAAAAAATGAGTTTCACTCAAAATATTGTATTCGATCAGGTTCATCGTTTCCAAACAGATCTGGTATTAGTCAATAAACCAGTCATGGCTTAAATTAGCTATAAATGAGTAATTAAAGTGAACGTACCTTAGATTTTAGGCCATAATCAGTCTCTTCTAATGCACTTGAATTAGGAACACCCGAATCATCGCTACCCGTCTCACTTCTAAAATACATGGGACTGACATCAAGAACACTGACTCTGATGCCACAAATATCACCTTCGCTTCTACTAAACCTACACATAAACCGATTGTACAACCTAGTAATAAATCAAATTAAATGAAATACCTGATCGAGGAAACAAATCCTGAACTGGGTCTGCCGCACTGACCCCTGCTAAGCAAATAATGCAGTAATTTGGGGCCTTCCGGACAATACACCAATAGTTGCCCCGGTCCAGCAGGAAAATCCCTAGAATTCATTAAAAACTATAAATTTCCACTACATCTGGGAAAATCATTTTTTACCTGCTGGTGTGCATAACGATAATCTTTTTCCAATCCTCATTTTCGCTAGTAGCCTGTATATGAAACTGATGGAAATGGTACCACTTCCACACTACTTTTGGGGCACCAGTGCATGGATCGCTGACCATGATTTCTTGGGAATTCGCATTCAAGACTCCGTATAAGCCTAGCAATCCTGCAGAGCGCGAATGCGAGCTGTCCACAAAGGAAATTCGAAAATTCGATTCGCCCACTGTAACAACGTTAGTTTAAGTACATATGAACTATTGAGTACAGTACTACAGAGTGCCTTACCAGGTATATAACTTGCAATGCTAAGCATTTTCCTAATAGAAATCATCCACTCCTGCGAGTGACTTTCGTTCATTCCAGCCAGAAATAAAACCGCTTTCTTGTTGACTTTTCTCAAGTTAAATACACCGAAAGCAAATTGTTTCGATCGGGAATCGGTTCGGCATAAGGTGGCTGATCGAGGCACTTGAATGCAGTTGAGAAGGTGGCCATCTTCCGAGGACTTCAATTTCAGTTCAACACCCACTTCTAAGTCTTCCAGACGGCGGATTTCACACCATTGTCGTTGCCAGGCCTTAAATTTAAAAAAAAAACGCAAATTTAGTCTTTGCTAAATCACTGATTGAAGTTGATTCCTCATATCTGGGTCTGTAGTCGCTGTTGTAGAATGGGTAGATTAGGGTTTAGTATGGTAATAGGTTCTGACTAAGTTGTAAACTTATTATTTTTTGCTTATTTCTTATTACGGTTCAGCTATCTATTAACTGCGTTAAACGCCGATATAGTAAAAGAGCTTGAGAATAAAGCGACATCGGTAAATATTGTTTTAAGTGATGGCTTCATTTACAGTTGTTAACAACAAGAGCCACATAAAGGAACAGTCTGAAAGAACAAAAAGCCAGGTAAACCAATACCGCATCAAATTCAATTTTCGTTTGAGGCCCAACCTTTTTTTAGCTTGCCCGTTAAGGCATTCTCCTTTAGTCCTTGACTTGTTTCCCTTTGAATTTATATAGGTACCCAGATAGCACACAAATATTACAGTAATATTTTTTTGCAATA